CGAGCTTCTCCTGCACCTCGCCCGAGATGGGCTGAAACGTGACCTGCCCCGCAACGAGGGACTTGCGGAAGTCGGCCAACTTGCGCTGCCCCTCGTCGTTCAGCTCGTTCGTGTTGTGGAAGATGGCCCCGGCCCGCGACAACTTAAACAAGGCCCGCGCGTCGGCCGCGTCATAGGTACGGAACCTTTCTCCTCCTTGTGGTCGGCCGCAATGGCCGCTGCTGCCTTCTTCTTGCGCTCCGTCATATCAGCCAGTTCGACTGCGAGGCTGCGCATGCGCTCCTGCGCCGCACTCAAGGCCGCCTCGCGCAACGCGACCGCATCGACCGCCGCGTTGTGGCGCCTCGTGGGGTCGCGGCACGCACCCGCTGTCTTCCTGAACTCGCCCTCCGCTGTCGTGGGTGCCGCCTTGCTCTGCTGCCAGGGGTCAGCTGCCGTCTGCTCCTCCTTGATGAGCGGGGAGTCGCCAACGTCGATGACAAGCTTGCCGTTGCCCCCTGGCTTGGGCAGCACATTGGAGCCGCCAACGCCGGAGAACTGGAAGCAACTCACCTCGACCGAAACTCTCGACATCGATGGCTGTCTTCTGAACAGGGGTCAGATGAGCGGGGAGTCGCCAACGTCGATGACAAGCTTGCCGTTGCCCCCTGGCTTGGGCAGCACATTGGAGCCGCCACTTGCTGGTTCACGCCGCCGCCGGAGACTGCTCGACCCACTGCCCGCATACACACCTCCAGTCTCTGTGTGCCCGATGGGTGTTCTAATCGGATTTCGGACTGCCCTGACCCTGGTCCAATCTGGCTCTTGGACCGCTGGCGCTGCTGCTGCTGGGACGGCGAGACGTACCCAACTGTTCGGCCGAGGAGATGCTGACCTGCCCATGTTCAGCCTCTTCTTCTCCTCCTTCTCCTTCACGCCGAGAGGATACGGCTAGGGGAGGAACCCCAACCACCAACGGAGGCGAGGAAAAACCTCGCGGAGGCTCGGGCGGCCCCTCGGCCCCACACGGGGGTGGGAAGCAAAGGTTCTGATGATCATGATGAAGAGGAGGAGGAGGAGGGAGGACCAGGAGGAGAGAGGAGGAAGGAAGTCGGAAGCCAACCGTTGGAGCATGCCAAAATATTGTGCCCGCGATTCCAACGCCACGGATCAACATGACGATTGCGTGCTGGCGATCCTGAGTCGTGCTAACACGCCATTCTTGGGACTACAACAACGAATCAACGTAACCGTTGCGCCCGCGTAATCCTGAAACATTTCAAAACATTTGTTCTGGTACGTTGCCCTCAATCCGTGAACCACATTTTGAAAACGACCCGCCCTCAATCCGTGAAGCTCTTGAAAATGTTGAAGAACTTATGTGCGCCGCGCTAAGGCGAGAGCTACATTTTGAAAACGACCAATTTCTAAATTTCATTTCAGACTCATCCATCATTGGTGAGGACGACTCAGGCGAAATACCCGGCCCGCCCTAAAAACTGGCCTCGGGGTGCGACAGGGGCAAACTATCTATAAGGACAAGGAAGGAGGAGGAGGAGGAGGAGGAGGAAGAGGAGGAGGAGGAGGAGGAGGAGGGAGGAGGAGGAGGAGAGGAGGAGGAGGAGACGAGAGACCCCAAACGACAGGCGAAGGAACGAGGGACTCCAAACGACCCCTGCAACCGCACTGGACCCCAGTGCCCTGTGGCTGGGAGGCCGCGGCCTCGGCTCCTCCTGCAGACCTCCACGCCTCGTCGGGTGGGAATCGAGCAAGTACGGCAGGCACTTGGCGTGACGACCCTGGCGTCGGCTTCTCTGACACTCCAAACGACCTCCTGTGACAGCACTGGCGCCTGCGCAGAACTGCGCCCACGTCGAAACTATTCGAGCGGGGCTGGCCATCGAGAGTGGTTGAAGATGGACCGAAGAGGCACGGGTGCGAGGGCACCCTTGGTAAGGTTACCCATCCTTGCCATCGGCTTCGACTGTGAGGCCCTGCGACTGGCAGGCAAGGAGAGAGAAATCCCCACACGGCCGCCCTGGGACTGCAATGGCTGCACCCGCGCCGCTAGGAGGGCCGCGGCCCCGACACCAGCCCGACGCCGCGCGCCCCTCTCCGCGCTGGGTCGGGGAGCCCCCTCCCGCGTGCTCGGGTCGTGTCGACCCTGGCCGGCGTTGGTTCCCAGCACCGCGGGGGTCGTTCAACCTCGAACGATCGCCCGTCTCCGAAACATCCGACCGTTCAGCATCGACAAATTCTGCGGTCGCCGGCGGCGCTCAACGTGGAACGCCGGCCGGCGGCGGGGTCGCCACGACGCGAACCTACCGCTGCCCCCCCTAACAGAGGAACAAGATTTTTTGATTCGCGGGTCGAGAGCGCACCTCTTCCGGTCGAAGCTAAGCGGGTCGCGCGAAGCTTTAATTAGCAGGGAGGGGGAGGGAATGAGCGCAGCCTCAGGGCGAGGCCGGGAGGAGGCGAAACCTCGGGATCCTAACAGAGGAACAGGACACGGCATGAGCAGAAACTCTCGGTCCGATCGCGACCCGACCTGAGCCGGCACGCGCCGATGCCCACTCGGGCCTGCGGGGGCCGCGCCCGATGCGCGAGACCGAGCGATGCGATCCAGCTCGGAGCTCCGCGCGGACTTCTTGGATCGGCGCTGGGCTCTCATGCTGGCGCCACCGGCGCCGCCCCTGGCGCGCTCCGCGCGCCAGGGAGGGGGGCCCAGCGCCGATCCAGGAGCTCCGCGCGGAGCTCTGAAAGGTTACGCTTGCGTAGTTGTTTTCTGTTCCCAGTCCTTCTGTGCTGCGTTCTCGTTCTGAATAGGAGCACTGCGGTCGTGCACATTCCTGCCTCTCCCTCCTCCTGCCTCCTCCTGCGCTGCTCCCTGGGTGGCTGCGAACTGGGCAATTGTCGCCACTTCTGTGGGCTCCCTGGGACCATCGGAGGCACGGTAGTCCCGGAGTACGCAGGCCAAGCCGAGCCCTCGCAACTCCCTGGGTGGCTGCGAACTGTGCAACGGTCGCAACTTTCGTGGGCTCCTGGGAGGCACGGCGGACTTTTCTTTTTACTCGACGAATGGGGCTATGACCGCCTGGAAGCGTGAGGTACATAGAACTGTGGCAACCCGTCGCTGGATCGGGTCTCGTAGCGATCCTTCTCTGGTCTGCTATGCATGCTGGTGCACGCGCTCGGTCGATGCTGCAACACACGCGCGGCGGGGCAAGCCGACACTGTGCAGCTCCCAAGGTGGCTGCGAACAACGCAACTGTCGCAACTTCCGTGGGCTCCTGGGAGGCACGGCGGAGTCGGGGAATATGCGGTCCCAACCGAGACCTCGCAAATCCCTGGGGCGCTGCGAACTGCGCAACCGTCACTATTTTCGTGGGCTCCTGGGGGACACGGCGGAGTAGCGGAGTACGCGGACCCAAACGGGATCTCGCGGCTGCCTCGGGGCTTCCGAACTGCGCAACCGTCGCCACTTTTGTTGGCTCCTGGGAGGCACGGCGGAGTCGCGGAGTACGAGGACCCAACCGTGACCTCGCAGCTCCCAGGGTGGCTGCGAACTGCGCAACCATCGCCACTTTCGTTGGCTCCTGGGAGGCACGGCGGAAGTGCGGCAGACTTGCACCCAACCGAGACCTTGGAATTCTCCGGGTGGCTGCGAACTGGGCAATTACCGCCACTTTCGCGGAATCCAAGGAAGTCCATCGGAGTCGGGGGCCACGCGCACCCAGCCGGGATCTCGCAACTCCCTGGGGCGCTGCGAATTGCGCAACCGTCACCATTTTCGTGGGTTCCTGGGATGTCTAGCGGAGTCGGGGGCCACGCGCACCCATGCGAGACCTCGCAGGTTCCTGGGTGCCTGCGAACTGCACAACTTCCGTGGACTCCTGCGAGGTCCAACAGAGATGAGGACAGCCCTGCTCGTGCACATCTGGTGATGTGTTCTTTTGTATGGAGCGTTCATGTAAATATTCGCCTCGCGTGGAGAAGGGGTTGGGTACGTCTGGGTACGTCTCGGGTGATTTTGTTTGTTTGTTAGTCCTTCTTCTTTTTCGACCTTCTCCCTCCCCTTCCAAGGAGTGTCTGGACTGGTGCTGCCAACTGTGGACGGAGCGTCCAAGGTGGCTCCAGATGGCCCAAATAAGGCCTCCAAAAGTGTGCAGGATGGCCTCGTGTTGGCCCAGGCGGCCTGCCATATAGCTCCAGTGGGCCCCAATATGGCTGTGGCACCTGCGCCTCCCAAAGATTATATACAAAGATGCCGGAATCACGCAAGAAACCGTAGTGGTTCTCAGTCGCGCTCGCCTTCGGGCTGCCCAAGAGGGCGTCGATCGGAGCTTCGAGGGGCCGCAAAGAGGTCCCAACCACATCGGCGATCATCCCACCGGAGCCCCCCGAGGGTAAGTTAAGCCTGGGGGGGGCCTCGACTGAAAGGCAGCACACATACACTGAATGAATAATATGATGCCGTGCTTCAGATGTGCCGCTCGTCCGTTCTGTCATGGTGCCCAGGGACACGACACAAGAACGACAGTTTTCGGATGGCGACGACGTCGGCGTTTGTTTCTGACACCGCAGGGGCCGCTCAACCTTGAATAGAAGAAGACAAACGCCATGAACATAATGGTTTGGCGCTCCACGCGGCGCGCCAACAATTTATGTTTGTGTTTATGTCTTGTTCTATTGTTTGAATATCGTTTGTCAATTTTTACTTTGTTTGCCCGCTGCGTTTTTGTTTATGGCGTTTTTGTTTATGGCGTTCTTTCTTCTTCGGTTGAAAGATTGCGGATCTCCGATAGCGCAACTCGCTCGGGTATCGGCCAACTCGTGGGAACTGGCGGGCTCCCACCCGTGGACGCCCGCGCATGGGGCTGCCGCCGCGTCGGCGCGGCGCGACCCTCTAGCCACGAGTGCAGCGAAGTTGGCGTGCCCGAGTGCGCGCGCGAGCGCGTCTCTTGGCATGGGCGACCGCCCCTCCGCGATCCGATCGCTGCCAGCCCAGCGGGGGGATCGTCCTCGCCGTGGAACTTCCACACAATGTCCCCCTCGTTAACGTCGATGTAATCCTTGTCAGTCTCGGTTATGAAGTCTGCGGCCCTGAAGTTGCTGAACACCTGGCGGATCGGCTGGCTGGACCGTCCAAAGGCAGAACAAATTGGCCGTGGGCCCGGGGGTCACGAGACGAGTGAGGGGTATGCCGAAATTGGTACGGTGTCGCCATGCGGACGCTGCCACTCAGGCCTTCGGCGGGGCTCCCTGTGGGGCCACGGAGAGTGTGATGTGTGTGTGTGTGTGCGCGCCGAAATGGGTGCAGTGCCGTCGTGCAGACGCTGCTACTGGGGCCCTCGGGCAAGAAAGACAGAAGCTCGCCATCGCTTGGGGACGTCCATTCGTGCACTCTTCGATCCCATGCGTTTAATTCCAACAATCCAGTGGTGTTGGGTCCTCGTTTTGAAAAGACAGCGCGCCGCGTCACTCACTCCTTCCTCCTCCCCCTCCTCCCACTCATCCCTTCTCCCATCCGTGCCTCTGCCCTCCGAGTGTCCATGCCCGCGCACCCCTCACACGCTTCGTGGCCTCATGAGGAGCTCCACGGGACGCCCAAATGCCACCGTTCGCATGGCGACGCCGCCTCGTTTGGGCACACCCATCACACACTTCGTGGCCCCAGGAAGAGTTCCAACTAAGGCTCACATGCCAGCGTTCGCATGGCGGCGCCACCGCATGTGGCGCACCGCTCACACGTCTGATGGGCTCACTGGGGGCCCCACCGAAGGCCCAAGTGCCCGTTCGCATGGCAACGCCGCTTCATGTCGGCACAGCCCTCACACGTGTCGTGGCCCAACAAGGAGCTTAAACTACGGCCCAAATGTCACCCCGTTCGCATGGAGGCGCCGCCACGTTTCGGCACACCCATTACACCTGGCCTGAAACAGAGCCCCCAATTGCCAGCGTTCGGTTCGCATGGCGGCACCACCGAAGGCCCAAATGCTAGCGTTCTCGCGGTGCCGCCGCATCACTTCGGCATACCCCTCACACGCCTCGTGGCCCCACAGCGAGCTTCAACTAAGGCCCACATGCCACCGTTCGCATGGCGGCACCGCCTCATTTCGGCACACTACGCACAGTTTCGTGGCCCCACAAAGGGCTCCAACTAGGCCCAACTGCCAACGCTCGCATGGCGGCGCCGCCTCATCTCGGCACAGCACTCACACCACGTGCCATGAATTTCTCTATAAGGGCAGAATATGTTCTCAATGGATATCGCCAGCGACAGATCCAAGGAAGTACGGCGGCAGCGGTCGGATCCAACCCAAAGCCCCTTGCAACTGGAACATTAGAACCACTATTGCGAATACAACTAGACCCAATCCAGAAGAACATCACGGCTATCAAAACACGGCTATATATATATATATATATATATAGCGCTTCGCGCCATGCTCCTTGTTCCGGACCCTCCCTGGCAAAAAACCGATCATCGCTTGTTTCAGCAAGGGGTACGCCGAGGCCTGGACGGGCGACCGCCTCGTTTTTCCGATCTCCTTGGTGCCTGCTGACACCGCGTTCGCTCGATGCGCTTGCACGCTTGTGTGCAGGAGTGGGGGAGGAATGATGATTTTTTCCCGCGTGAAGGTCCTTTAAGGAAGTAAGGAACGTTCCCATGACAGGCCGAAGAAGCCGCAGTAGCTCCGAACAAATCAATGTTTGGTCGCTTCCTGAATGCCTTGGGGGCTCCAGGCGCTCAGGAAATCTTCGATCGTCGGACTTCGAATCTCGATCCATTGCCTGTCTCGCTCCATCGGGGAACTTCAACCTCGAGCCTCAAGCGTGGAACCAAGATCGTCGTGTCAGCTCGATGTACTTCGTAGGAGAACGCCGTCTGGGCATTTTTGGGGCTCTTTTGAGCCGTCCTGGGGAGCTGGGGCTCTCTGGAGGTCTTCTGAAGCCATCTGGGGCCTTTTTGGGGGGCCTCCAGTGACCTTCTTGGGGGTCTCCCGTGGCTTTCGCGGGTCTCTCTTGGGAGCCTTCTGGCTGGGGGCATCTTGGGCTTGTTGTGGGGAGTCTCGGGGCTCTCTGGGGCAGTCTTGGGGCCCGGGCCGTCTTCAAACCCTCTCGGGGGCCTTTTGGGCCGTCTTGGGGCAATATCGGGGGCCCATCGGGCCGTGTTGGTCGCTGCGACGACCCCTAAAAGCGTATATGCTATATATATATATATACATATATAGATTCCCGAGGGAGCGGGACAATCTTTGCTTCTTCGGGGTATACACACATATATATATATATATGTATACATATATGTGTATATCTATATATGTATGGTCGACCCCTGATCGTCCACCTCTGGTCCGAGCTGTTCGTAAGCTGTGTACTGGCGTCAAATATTTCCTGAAGGACACACTGTTGATGCAGTGCACCAGTCGTGCTTCTGACCACAACCCTTGTCAGTGGAGGTAGGCGGGGAGCTCGCACTTGCAGTAGTCGTGGACGGGAAAACGATCAAAGAGGAGTGGAATAACGACTTGGATAAGTGGCAGTAGTTGCACGCTCACTCCATTTTTTTGTCAAACTAGCTCAATCCTAAGAGGGAGTTGTACAGCGGAACACTACATCGATGCAGGGAGGAGGCAAAACAACAACTCCAAAGGTTCCAGAAATACAATTAAATAGGACATCCGGCAAATGTTGAGTCCCGATCGCACTGGAACCGACAGAGCATTCACAGATGGCCCGGGAAACGTCGCACATACACCTTCCTCGTCCATGAACATCTTCAGTGGCTTCCTATATGTGGCCAACGCGACGGCTGAAGACAACGTGTCTGTTCATACGAACTCTCTGCCGTCCTCTGCACACGATGCCGCTGCAACACCAAAGCACATGTTCCTGCCGACGAGATGGGGTATGGGCAAAGATACCAACACTGCAGGCGGTACAACTACTTTTCCGGGCCAGGGCAAAACTACCTACCCGACTCTCTCACCGTCCGCCGCTGAAATAACGCCCCGCAAACACGAGGAGCACACTGGCACGGACAAATCGCTGGCGACCATATCAAGAGAACAAACATGGGTGCTGCAGGCGCTGCTGTAAACTATTGGGCCAATAATGCGTTGGCACTTGGAACGTCCAAAGGATGGGAGAAGCATACGGCACATTGGCAGAGATGCAACGCCACATGGAACAAAGCAGGACTCCTGCGTGCGCAAAAGACACATGTTGCACATTTGCAGCATGTTGCACAACATGGGTATTGGGCGATGGTTTTCCAAACGTTACCGATTACATCTTGGTATGTTTACTCCGATTTGGGGCTCGTGATCGCACCGCATGCAATCTATTCAGTGGTAGATTTCAAGCTTCTGGTGACCGACTGGCAACTCTTATAATCAAATTCGCAGATGGGATATTCAACACTATGAGCGTGTACGCGCCGCACGCTGGAAAAGACTACGAGAATGGGAAAACCTCATTTAACAACGTGGCGAAAGCAGGGACCCAGTACGGCAACCACAACTGCACTATCGCCCTGGGGGCTTCAACAGCAGACTGGGGAAGAAATTTCCTGGAGAAGAAGATAGAATGGGAGAGTATGTCGCGAAGGTGAAGCCTAACTGTGGAGGGACCTGCTGATCGGAACGTGCTGGGGAACACGATCACTCATTGCCAACACGTGTATTTCCCATCCTTGTGACACCTAGGTCACTTTCTACGGCCCTGTTCCTGGGATAGGGCCACTCAACGACGCCACGAACCCAACTTTCTGCACAACTGGATTACGGTCTGGTCGATTCAGATGTTTTTTTCTATGATTGCGGATATCTGGACCAACAAAGGAGCAACTTTATCGACACGCCACTTTCTGATGTTGATTTCGCCGCAAAATTATTTTACGAAGCGGGAGGCTCAATCACCACGTCAATGATGTTGTCTGGAAACCCTGAGGAGGTCGCGGGGTACTGGCCAAGAATACTGCGACGCGTTCATAACCGCTCTTCAACACGACGCTGGCTTGTTTTTGGATGAACACGCGAACACAGAAGCCCAAGCAATGCGAGCAACCGCCGGAATCGCAGATGCGCTTGGACGTGGCCGATCAAAACATGGGATATCCATCGGGACGCAGGAGCTGTTTAAGCAAGGGGAAATGCACGGCATGTTGGAGATACAGCGCATGAGCAATTGCTGAACGCATCGGTGAAGAGGGCTACCTGGCGAAAAAACAAACATGGCTGGAAACACAATTGCAATGGACATCATGGGCAGCAGCGACAACATTGCTACACATGCCTTCACCATGGGCGAGCTTACTGCAGCTTTAAAGAACCCTGCGATTGCAAGAGCCACAGGCTACGATGGGATAGCGCCAGAGATCTGGAAATTCTGACGCATGTCGAGCACCGCTTGCGGAAATCTACTGAATGTATGCCACAAGTGTTGGGAGCACAAGAGCGTAGACAGAAGTTAGGCGGCTCTCAACACCTGTGCTACTATCTCAAAAAGAGGACGCAACTTTACCTGACAATTGCTGGCCAAGTTCTCTCTTACCTGTGGGGTACAAAATTGTGGCCTCGATGCTCCAAACCACGATTACAACACGGAGGGGCCGAGCAACGACTACGACCACGGCAATCTGGATTCAGACCGAGACGCAACACAATACATACAAGTACTATTGCCCGCCGGATGACCGGCGCTGCGGAATGCTTGACATAACCTGGATTGGTGGCAATTTTACTTGCCTGGGCTAGAGCGTTCGACAGGATAAAGCACGACGCGATGATCAAAGCTCTGGCGCGGTTTGGTATTCCAGATCCAATGCTCGAATTTCTCACTGCTGCATGCAGAACCCGCAGTTCCCTTCTGAAAGACACGTCAGACGATTTCAGTATTAGGCAGCAGCGAGCAGGAGTAGCCAAAGGATGATCACTTCCACCATACTTGTGATTCATTCTTGTTCAACCAGTGATGTTTTCCAACGTCGGCAAGCTGTACAACGATCTGGACATGGGCTTTGTGGAGCCAGGGTACGTTGTATGTAATGATATGTTGTTCGCGGACGTCACCATGCTCGTGATGATCGCAAGCTGCCTTGTCCTGTCCCAGTTGTGGTTGGGATGGTTCCGACGATTGTGAGGGTAGCGATCGATTAAACGATGGCAAACGCTGGCGCGCAAAAAAGGGTGGTCACCGAAGGGTGGACATCTTAGTGTATGGTATCCGTCCTCCTGCTACTCCTCCTCCTCCTCCTTCTCCTCATCCTCCTCCTACTTCTCCTCCTCCTCCTCCTCCTCCTCCTCCTCCTCCTCCTCCCTGGCACTCAGACCCGCACTCCCCAGAAACCCATACACACATTCCATACACATATACATAGGCATACATATACATATATATATATATAGATGTATATATATATATATATGTATGTACATATGTAGGTAGGTAGGTAGGTAGGTAGGTAGGTAGGTAGGTAGGTAGGTGGGTAGGCAGGTATGTATGTATGTATGTATGTATGTATGTATGTATGTATGTATGTATGTATGTATGTATGTATGTATGTAGGTCTGCCTGTCTGTCTGTCTGTCTGTCTGTCTGTATGTCTGTATGTTTGTATTCATATGTATGTCGGTCAATTCGTATATGCTCATATTTACGTGTGTGTATATATATGCAGTTGTATAAATATGTATAAATATTTATGTGCACTTCGAAGTGTCAGCGCGCACTTGAAACCACGAGTGGCTGCACTGCGAAGGTGTGAGCAGGGTGGTGCCGACCCAGCCCATCCCACTCGTGCTGTGCCACCAGACCCCCGCGCAGTAGCGCGCCTCCTCCCCACGCGGCGCGCCGGGCCTCTCGCCCGGGCCCCGCGCCACCGCCACCGTGGCACCAGAAAGGTAGCACGCGGGGCCCAAAGACTGCCCCAAGACGGCCCAGGAGGCTCTCGCGAGCGCCCCGAGACGGTTCAAGAGGGCCCCAAGACGGCTCCAAGAGACCCTTAAGACGGCCCAGGGTGCCCCCAAGACGGCCCCAAAAGTGACCCGAGACGGGGGTCCCGAACCCTAGTGGCCCCCGTTCGGCGTTCCGACGCTGCTTCGCGACGGCGCCCTGGCCTCACAACATAGCTCTTGCATGCCCCATTCTCCGAGAGGGGGGGCCGGTGGCAGGGGGCGAAGCCCTTACGGATTGCAACTTCTTGAATACTCACAGCCAGAGCCCCAGACCCCATCTATCTGCTGCATTTGTCAAGCCAGATCGATATGTGAGGGTCCTGGGGGCCGAAGTCGTGTGAAAACGCCCGAGTCGACAAACATTGCGACGACGGAATATCAAGAAAGGTCATAGTTTCTGGGGCCCTGCCTTGAGCAGGAACCGACCGTCCCGGCATTCACACCGGCCTACCACGACATGCTCTTAGAACATTTCGTGCAAACCACTATCGATTCTTAGAACATTCTTCGGTGGGCCTGAGAGGCAGGGCAGGACACTTCGCCACTGCTTGCCTGCAGGGGTTGAAGCGGCCGCGCCGCCCAGAACTCTGTGCCTCTCCTTGCCTGCAGGGGGATTGAAGTGGCCACGCCGGCGAAATTTGCCCCCCCCCCCCCCCCCCTCCCCCCCCCCTCCCCCCCCCCCCCCCTCCCCATCCCGCCGAAGTCTGCCCCCCCCCCCCCCCCCCCCCATCCCGCGGCGCCCGCCTTGCAGGCCACCTTGGGCGGCGCCTTGGGCGCGGGCGCCTTGGGCGCGGGCGGCGCTCCTGCTGCAGCGGGGTACGGTAGGCAGCCTCGCTCCTCCTCGCTCCTCCTCGCTCCTCCTCGCTCCTCCTCGCTCCTTCTCCTTCTCCTTTTCCTCCTTTTCCTCCTCCTTTTCCTCCTCCTTTTCCTCCTCCTTTTCACCCTCCTTTTCCTCATCCTTTTCCTCCTCCTCCTCCTCCTCCTCCTCCTCCTCCTCCTCCCCTTCCTTCCTTCCTCTCCGCTTGGCGCCACCCCCAGGTCGGGGCGCGCGCCCGGCCGGACCGCGCAGCGCGGGCCCTCATAGGCCGGCGGGCTGTGCCCGCCCTGGCCTTCCGATCCACGTTTTTTTAGTTGATCTTATTTTTCTTATAGGAAATCTGCCTTAACTACTATTTTGTTTGTTTCAAGTTTTGCAAAATAGTGGATCCACTTTTTTGATACATGCATACGTACACGTATACTTATATGTATATGTGTATGAAGAAAGTGTTGGTTTCACAGAGGCTAGATCAGACACTTACACACATCAAATAAAAACAACACAAATGAAATTTACGTTGCATGAGGTCTGGTCGGTGAGCTCGGATAGATGCCACGCACCTCGTGCCCCCAAGATGGGGTGGGCGGCTATTTGCATGGGGGCCACGCACCTTGTGCCCCCAAGATGGGGTGGGCGGCTATTTGCATGGGGCCTAATCATCTGATAAGCTGGTGGCTCGCGAAAGCGAGTGTCGGACAATTGCGCATGTAAGATACATCATATACAAGAGACATCATGCTATGATATGTCGTGCTATGATATGTCGTCGTTATCCTCACCCCCCTCCTCCTCCTTCTCCTGGCTCCGTGGCCTTTCTCGCTCATCTCATGGGGTGGCCCCCCACCTCACCCCCTCCATCCTCCAACATGTGTGCAATTGCCCCCAAAACGTAACGGTAAACACATACAAACAAAACAAACGACACATGAACAAAACCAGGGGTCGATGCGGAAATGCTCTGACACTTCCACAGCAATTTTGGTTCTGGCCAAGAGTTTTCCTTGGCGCGGGCCGCATGGCCAGCCCCGATATTTGTTGTCTGTGCAACGACACCGTCAACGGACCACACTCCGATGAAGTTGGATGGGCGTGCGGCCACAAAGTGCACATGAACTGTTTCGGATCTTGGGTGCATTCAACGTGGCCAGAACTACATCGGCCACCTTTACCATGTCCTGGATTACCATGCGCCCTTTGCAGAGAACCTTGGCATGGCGACGTGGCTCTAGATGCTAAGTTGAGGATCGCTGGGAAAACGTTTCAAGATTTCGTTGACCACGTGGCTGATCAAGAAATGGTACCTCCTCCGCCGCCGCCTGCATCTCCTGCTGAATGGATTGTGCCGCTGTGTTGCCCTAGGTTGCTTGCCACAGGCGACGGCGTCGGTGAACCCACCTTCATGGAGATAGAGTACGACCGACGCATGGCATGGATGGGAGGAGTGGACTACGAGTGCTTGCGATGTGGTTCGAAGGTGTCAAACAGCATGCCTGAGTTCAACTACTTGCGGGTATTACCTTCCCAAGTCATGGCGGCGAGTATGAGTGCGTGCATGATTCATGGCCGTCGCTCAATGTTTTTAGACATGTAAACTAAGCTCCGATGGTGGACGTGCACAGAAAGCTATCCTGATTATGACGTACCGATGCCTCTTTACCACGGCTGCATTCCCATGGGCCGGTACCCATGGATGGATGGAGACTACGTCGCCTCAGACGCGGATGAGGAGTCGGCCTCGGTGATCGACGTCGACGCGATCGACGAGCTGCCCAGGCCCGCAGACGGCATGGAGATTGAGCCTCAGCCCGAGCTTGCAGATCTCGAGGATGAGCCTCGGCCCCAGCCTGCTGAGGATGAGTCTCGGCCCCAGCCCGCTGAGGATGAGCAGCCGATTGACGATATCAGCAGGCAATCGTTGCTTCACATAATTTGCTCTGATGAACTTGATGCGCTCAGCAGGCTGGCCAGGGACGACTAGCATTGCTAACAAAAACAAGCACCCAAAACAGCAATAACAATCAAACCAGTGAGGGCCAGTGAGGACCAGTGAGGACGTCTCGAGCGACGTGCGTAGGTGTGGGTGGTCGACCAGTGAGGACGTCTCGAGCGACGTGCGACACAGCCTGGAATAGATCACTGCAGTGAGGACGTTTCGAGCGACGTGCGACGACAGCCCAGACTAGATCGACCAGTGAGGACGTCTCGAGCGACGTGCGACAACAGCCCAGACTAGATCGACCAGTGAGGACGTCTCGAGCGACGTGCGTAGTGTGGGTGGTATTAGGCTACGCTCCCATTCGCATCCAAGTGAAACGCACTTCAAATGTTATATGAGGGGGCCGCGAAAAACAAAACGAAATCCACCGACGGGACCTAGCTACAACAAGCGATAAACTGAGAAACGAATACCAAGAAGTTCGCCATGCTCCCACCCACCTCCTCCTCCTCTGTTCTTCTAGCCAGTTGGGCTCAATTCGCAACTTCAGGCAAGGAGCTCGCGCTGCTTCAGGCTCGCACTGCTTCAGGAGGAGAAGCTTCAGCTCGCGCGGTTCGGCGATGGCGGAGGAGCTCGCGCTGCTTCAGGCTCAGCCGCGCAGAAAGACCAGAAGCTGGAGGTCATCGGACCCGTCCAACCCTGAGCTCTACGAGGCCCTGGTGGCCGACTTCGACACGTATTTGTTCACGCTGAACGGCTGGAACTACGAGTCCAAGGACACGAAGACGGGAGTGGATACAGACGCCTTGAAAGGTTTTGCTCCGATCTTGTCGAAACTCATGATGCTGGACCCTAGAGGAGGATACTTCCGCCAGAGGGACATGAGAGGGGCTCTCGCTAAGTGCGCCATGCGAGACAGTTGCAGGCAGGCATTCGCTGCGCACTGCGTCTCGCAAGGGTATGCCAGTATCGAACAAGGGCTCGTTCACTTGAGTTTGATGTTTCGTGTGGCGTGCGCCCACACCAGAGACAAGCAGCAGCAGTACAAGAAGCTCACCGACATCGGCTCGCCTGCTGCTGTTCGTGCACACCCTGAAGAATTGCGAAAGGTGTACGAGCTCATCACGCAGAGCCCAGGCCCAGTCGCCGGCCATAGGCTACACCCAGTCCCAGCTTTTCGAGGGGGTGAATCAGATCTGAGCTCGGACGACGAAGCCTACATCGTCAGCAAGAGCCTGGACGCCTCGGAGTTCAAGGCCGTCATATCGATGAGCTCAGGCCTGGAGGTCTACGCGGATAGGTACCGTCGTGGAGACAATGGGCTAGCAGTTGCGGTCTGGGATGTCTACAAGAGGAGAGGGAGATGGAAGTCCCTGCGAATCTGATCACCGACGATGGGGCACATTTGCGTAGGCCCACGCCAATAGTTCAGCCCAAGCCCAAGAAGACGAGTACCATGCAGAAGCCAGCGGCGGCCAAAAGGCCTGCGGCTGCCATGCCGCTGGCAGATGATGATGAGGCGCTTGCCGAGACCCCGAAGAAAATCAAGAGAGAGGACGATGCGCCTAGTGATGATGCGGGCGAGGGCCGTGCTGTCGAGGATCCCAAGCACAGCAAGGTCGTCCTCGACATCTTGCAGCGCCTCCCTGAGAACGCCAAGCCTACAAGTGGCCTCGAGGTAGGCCGTAAGTCGTACACGATCGAGGGCAGCCGTATCAGCGTGCTTCTCACAGGCAAGGGCTCATTCTACATCAAGGCGTGGCGGAGGACAACCTGAAGATCGCGAAGACACTGGACGCCTTCAGTGGCATAGTGGACGGCAAAGGTCTCAACAAGAAAGGCGACCTGCAGCTCGCGATCGGCGAGGACGTTCAGCGGTCCTTCGACCTCGCGACATTCTTGGCCTACCATCAGAAGTGAGGCTCGGAGCTCGGGGAACTCAGAACCTGCGGAGCATTGGGACGGCATTGCATGCTTGGCTCTCGAGAGATAGGGAAACAACTTTCCACCAGGGTGTCCAGGCTGATCCTCCTACTTTTCTCCATCCTCCTTCGGCCCAGGCCCGACGCCTGCGAGGACATCTCGAGCGAAACGCCGACGGAGAAACCTAAGTGCGAGTGCAAACGAATGGGAACCTACTGACACGATGCGCGAGGATATCTCGAGCGAAACGCCTACTGCGTGCACAACCCTGAGCCCCCATGGGCCCCATGGGGCCCATCGAGACCACGCGGGGCTCCCCCAAGCCCCAACATATCTAACAGCCCCCCCCTGCCGGATATGCTGCCAGACATAGATCCTCGAAACATCCGTCAATTTCTATATCTAAGAGGGGTCTGACAGATATGCTGACAGATATGGAGACGCCCTGTGTGCGCTGATCGGAGCGCCCTGGGACCCTGGAGCGATCCCTTATCCTCCTCCTCAGACCTCCTCCCATAGCTGTTTCGGCTACCGTTGGAGCTCGGGCGAGGTCGAGCCACCGACCGCTCGCGCTCGCCGTGCCGCCCAAGCGCAAAGCGAACGCTTTGCCCAAGGCGTGCGCTGATATGAAGGCAGCCATTGGTGAAGCAGGGGTGACTGCTCAGTCGATCGCTAATGTTGACCACTCCGTCCGCGTCAGGGCTTTCTCGGCTCCTCTTAACACCACGCTCAAGCACCATCATCCATCCAAGGTGGTCGAGTACAAGGCGCTCACGGACGACGATCAGCGCCGCGAGTGGCTTGCAGCCTTCATTCTTGACCCAGAAAGCGGCGGGTGCTGCGCCAGCAACACGACTGAGCGTTCAAGCGAGAGACCGCCGACAAAGCTGTCCAGATTTGGGCCACGGTCGATGAGTATGGAGGCCCACGGTTCCTCAACAACATGGAGCACGCGAAGATCGCTGTCACTGTATTGCAAGATCGGCCTCACGACAACGCTGCGTTGGCAGCGGCAGGAGTCAAGGAGTACGACGTCACGAATGTTTGGGGGGAATACTGCAACCGCAAGAAGGAGACTGCCGCGGTGACCGTCGATGCGAAGATCACGCCCTCAGAGTATCAAGAGGTGGCCAACGCCATGGCAACGGATGGAGATCCACCGAAAAAGAAAGGTCGCACCCAGGGGAACCCGAGTTCTCGGAGGAGCACCCTGCCGAACCCACCAGCAGAGCTGAGTGCCGAGCAGCTGGTGACCAAGCAGCTCAAGGACAGCATGGACAAGACTTCCAAGGAGGCGAAGAGCTTGATCGACAAGATGGGCAGGGAGCTTACAGAGGTGGAGCTCGTCGAGAACAGGCTCAAAACTAAATCCTGGTCACCTTCAGCCGTTTCCTATCTGCAGGGGGAGACCGCGAAGCAGGTGGCCTTCAAGGGGTCGCTCCACAAGCTGTGGACCGAGACGAAGGGGACGAAGTTCAATAGCAATGAGGATATTCAGGCGGCCACGGCGAGCCCCAGGACACTCAAGGAGAATTGCGAGAAGGAATACAATACGTACAAGTCCGATGTCCTTGGCCCTTTCGCCAACATCAAGTGATAGACGTGCGCCTCGACCTTAGGGGTGACTGAGGCATCATGCAATGAGCTAGCTGGGGTTGCAACATTGCGTTGGTCGGCATGCATCGCGTCTTTCCAATCGAGACGGCTCTGAGCATGACAAATGCACCTGCAGGGGCCCGATCGCCTCAAAGTTGTTCGAATGAGCGGCACGCCTCAAGATTATCCCACTCCTCCTCCTCCTCGTCCTCAACACATGTTGGCCCTGGGGACCGAAACGCCTCAATGGTGTTCGGGGAGCGACACGCGAACCGAGAGAGAGCTCAACAGAGGAAACACATGCGAGGATGTATCGAGCGAATGCCCCAGCCAAACAAATGTGAGGATATCTCGAGCCAAACGCCTACTGCGTGCACAACCCTGAGCCCCCATGGGCCCCCATGGGCCCCATGGCCAACTTGGGCTCAAGCTTGTTTCAGGCTGTGCCAGGGCACTTGCAGAAACTTGCAGAGTGGAGCAGGCCACTCGGCCTCGGCCTTCACCACTTGGTCGAATGGGATGGCAAGCCGAGGGATGCGGCAGACTACGTGAGACAGAACTTCAGCAGAGCACGGACTTCGGGTACCGAAGTCCAGAGGGTGTTGCGCGGCAATTCGGCGGCTTCCAGCAATAGGAGCTGCCATCGCGACGTGATGCGGCAAATGAAGGCAGCGCCTGGGAAGCCAGAGCCCTACGCTGCCAGCATTCCAGGTTGGGACCCAATGAAACAGGAGCCTTATCAAGATGACGTGTATTTCTTGCTTCCCCATGAGTACGTCGAGGCTACGATTGATGACGGTGTGTTCACCAACGATCAGCGGGTTGATTTATCATCGCAGCCGACCCTTGCAGCGAAGAGGGAGGAGTGGTGCAGCATAATGGGTATAGCTAATACTGACGTGGTTGCCTTCGGCCTCTGGGGCGACTTCGCCCCGTACTTGACGCGGGACAGCATCCTGGCCTTGCTGTTCACGTCTCTCGGCGAGTTGCGATTCGAGCGCGTCTGGTTTGTGGCACTGAGTAAAAGGACAGCTTGTCAGTGTGGATGCAAGGGGTGGCATACGTTCGACGGGAT